GTGTCTGTTTCACAACAGTCCATTGCTCTATCCACTCGGCCATCCGACCACATTAGATATAAGATTTTTCTGAGCATCACATAGCTTAGACGAATCTTGCCGATTCAAAATTGTCACAGCTGGCTAGACTCGAACTCTCAACCTTTTGCAGGAGAGACCGGTGTGCTATCACTTCGGCCATGGATGACACTCCAATGCATGCTATTTTGGTCTCCAAATATTTATCAGAAATCTGCTGTGATCAAAACAACTTTAGATGGTAGAATTCGAACCCTCGACTCTTGGATTGGTAGGCTTGCGCTCTGTCACTTCAACTATTCAGAAATACAATTTCCCAGATGGTTATTACAAACGTTTGCCTAGTTCACATAGTTTTAGTAATTGCCCTTCAAAGCTAAATAATATAAATCTGTGTTCGTACCTGAAAAAGACATCTTTTCACAGACATCAGACATCAGCTGAAGCACAATATACGACTTTTCACAACTCGTATACTATCTCACCAAGCATTTTTCAAACGTCAGGAAAGAATTGCGAATGATGTAGATGTATCTTTTAAAAAATCAAAACATATCCCATTAGATCGTCGGTACAAGGTGTACAGATATTGTTACGAAAATAAAGCTCCGTGCAAGAAAATACACTCTAAAAAACAGTAACTTGAAGACTTAGACGAGTTTTTGTGAAGAGCTATAGCTGAGAGGATAAGGAACACAAGGTGATAATTCTAAAATTCGCAATTTCAAGTTGATTAAGCACGTCTTAATGTTGTAAGGTAAAAATGTCACATGTAAAGAGCGTCGGGATAGTGATGCATTCAATCAATTCAGAGTTATAGTAGTGCAAAAAGCTGAATAAGTGATTAAATGAGTCAACTTTGCATTCAATGAGATTTCAGATGATTTTAAAGTTAAATATTTGAACCTTCAATACAATGTATTGAAAGTCTGAAAGTTGGTCTTTCAAAATTTTAGAATCTCAACAAATGCAAAATTTAACTTTGACAAACAATGAGCTCAAGAGTAGCAAGGCTGCTAATGCCATTGTCCAAACTATTTACAAAAACACTTTTTACAGTAAC